TGGATGTGAAAAAAACTTGTTTGAAAATTTTGTTGGAAATTTGTTTAAGTGTGAAAAAGTTTTGAAGTGAGCAAGTATCTAGGAGTAACCTACCCTAATGTTTAAAGGTCTTTCTTATTCTTCATTCTTTCCTTTAGTAAGACTATCCCTACTATAATGGAGTAGGTAGTCCTTACTTTGGATGTTAAGGGACATGTGAGGGACAATTTGACTTTGAAGGCCATTGTGGGATGTAATAAGCACATATAAGGGACCATCATCATTTTGCGAAAGGGACTTGATTCGTAAAGGCAACCATAAGGGACTTTGATGATTTTTTTTATTTGAGGGACTTGCTTTATACACCCCACTTAACCATTATTCGTAGGCAACTTGAGGGATATCCTTAGGAAGTGAGACGGCGATTAAAATTGACTTACGTGTGTGACGTGTTTATTTTAATTATCTTTATTTAAAAGTGATCTAAATTTATTTTAATATTACATACATGTTGTTACACTCCCTAATTACTAACCATAATAATAATTAAATAATTAAACAACTTTACATCCAAGAAACAATTACAAAATAATAAGCAAAATAATTAAATAGCAAAGATAAATAAAATATAAATAAGCAATAATAAATAATAAAGGGGTTAATTCTAAGTTTACTCGGCAAGACATCACATCTTGTGCCTACGTATCCTTACGGGAGTGGAATCAGAGTAATCGTAGTTCCCCTCAAAAGGGAGGTTAGAGACTTCTTGACTGTGGTCAAGGTCTCACGGGGAATAAACATGTCTTAAGGACACGCTTACGTGGAGTGTAGAAACTCCAAATCTCTACGTTGAAATGTTAAGTTGTAATTAGGGTTAAATTAGGGATTCCACGGCGGGAAACCCTAAAATGAGCGCGGCGGCTCTTTGACCTAATGCTAAGGGTAAAATTGTAATTTTGCCTGCGGCGAGGCATTTGTGAAAATTAGGGTTTGTAGTTTGTAGTTTTGAGGATTTGAAATTGAATGTGTGAAGTTTTACGGACTCTTGGCGCGGCGGCCAAACAGTTAGACCTAACCTTCGGATGTGTGCAATGTGACAGGAATAATAGTAAACGCGTGAGATAATTGAGTCATGCAAACAGAGAGATAATGTCATAATTTAAACCATGCAAGCAGAAATTTAAAGGCAGAATTTAAAGAGCGATTGTTAATTTCGCGAGGTTACATGAGAGGAGCAGATACAATATGATAATGAAATTTGAATTGAACAATAATAAAATAAAATAAATAACGGTTCTAGTTATTATTTTAAAAAAAGATTTTAGTTATTATTTTAAATTTATCTAAAAAAAAAGTTTTTCTTAAAAATAATAGGTTTTCATATTAATTTGGAAAAGATGTTAATGTTATTTATTTTAAAAAACAGATTTTTATATTATAACAAATTTTAATAAATTAATGATAATAATAATAATAATGGTAATAATAATGATAATAATGATAATAATAATAAATAATGATAATAATAATAATAATAATAATAATAATAATAATAATAATAATAATAATAATAATAATAATAATAATAATAATAATAATAATAAAGCAATAATGAATTTTAAATGTGCCAAATAACCCAACAATGTTGCTAACGCAGAAATGCGCTCATCGCAACCAGATCTAAATCGGACGAAACAAAATTTATCGCAAAGAAAAAGAAATTAAGCAAAAAATAGTATTATTGCTCACACAAAAATGCGATCATCGCAACCAGATCGAACTAACACAAATGTCACGCGTCATGCACACAAATGTGCAAACATCGTATCGACATAATTCGATCAAAAATCTTATATATATAAACTCTAACAATTTAAAAATTATATATATATAAACGTAACAGTAATAGATAAAGAAAAAGAAATAACGGTAATAGATGAAGAAAAAGAAATAACGGTAAAAGATGAAGAAAAAGAAACAACAGTAATCGATGAAGGAAAAGAAATAACGGTAAACGATGAAGAAAAAGAAACAATAGTAATGGATGAAGAAGAAAACTAAATAACGGCAAACGGCACTCACTCCTCTTAGGTTTTTTTCAATCTCTCCCCTTTTCCAACAAGGCAACACATGTATATATAGGGAACAAATTAGGGTTAACACCAAATTGTCAATAATGTCCCTAAAGCCCATTTTAAAGCCCAAACTAAATAATTAGTTAAGAAAAAATAAAATTTAAATAATTTAAAATAATTAAAATAAACTTAAAATAAAAACTAATAATCCTATTGATTCCTAAAATAAAAAATATTATAAAAAGAACAAAATTTTTTTCAATATTTCTTATTTTATGATTTTTTGGATATTTTTATGAATAATTTAGAAAAAAGTGAAAAAAAAAATATTTAAAAAAATGATTTAATTAAAATACGAAATAATAATTAAATAATAATAAAAAACTATTTTTGTTATTTTTTTAATGAAAGATAGAAAAATTTAGAGTAAAAATAATAAAAAACAAAAAAAATGACAAAGGTGAGATTCGAACTCTCAACCTCTCACACTCATAACTCCTTACACATGTCCTCCTGCCAATTGTGTCATTTTTACTTTTTAGGAAAAAAATGCATGCCATATGATATTTACCTGCAAAAAGTCAAACGACTACACAAATTTGTTAGTAATTGATTAAATGCAATGAAATGCGACGACAAATCTTAGGGCAAAATTTGGGGTATTACAGTTATTATGATAATATTTCTCACCCAACCTCTCTTTGATGTTGGCAAAAAAAATCATGAAGTTTGACTTTGGTTTGACCACAGTTGACCTCAGTTTGACCTTTTAACTGCATTGACTGCTTTTGACTTATCTGATCATCTGACTGAGCAAACTTTTGAGAAAAGTCTTGAAACTTGACATGGGGGTTCTTATACACATATAAGATGTTATGAAGCTCACTTGAAGTCTTGGAAGTCCATTTAGCCTGATTAAAGTCAAAACCCTAGTTTTGGATGCACTGCTTAGGAGGTGCATTGTCTGAGGGAATTGTCAACTCTTCTGACCAATTGTGAATTTTGTGAACCTTGTGAACCTTCTTGGAACACAAAGTCTTGTATTGTGAGGGCAAATTTTGGGGTGCAACAAGTGGTCACGCTTTTGGGTGGCCACAGATTGAGGCCTTTCCAGTCGCGGACGATGCCCAGTTTGTCGTGGAAAGGGACTTTGAGATTCATCACGTTGGGGCCTCCGCTGGGGAGGGGAAGGACGGGTTTCTCGTCGTCGTGAGGACGGGCTACGAGAAACCGGGTGACAGTGTCTCCGCGGAGGAAAGCGTGATTGTCGCTCTTTTTCTAGCATTCTGATCCGCTCATTTTGTTGGAAGATCATCATGCTTGTCTGATGGATCATCGTGAATAGATCCACCATGGTCGGGTCGACGTTGAGTGGCACAAGGATTGGCTAGAAGACCATTGAACTGTCGAAGCGGTGGGCAGTGTCGAAAGCCGCATTGTCAGGGGAGGGAGAGGCGGTGTGCCCGTCCCTAGCGTTGCCTTCGCCGACGTGAACGATCACATTAGGATCGTGATCTTCGTCGTTGGTGAAAGTGGTGAATACGGTTTCATGGATGTTGTCGTCAGTGCGTGGGTTGGCCATGATCAACGGAAGTTGAGATATACTTTGGTTCTTTGATTTCTGAGGAAGAAAGAACGGGGAAGCAAGAGTTTCCACAGACGGCACCACTGATCTTACAGGATTAGAAAAGGATCACTTTGCATTGGATTGGATTGCAAGACCTAATACGAGTAACTTCCAGTGCTTACGTGGCGTAGGCAAGACCAGCACGTGGTTTTCGCCCTGGGTCAACTGTCCCATAATCTTCAGAAGGTGGATAGTTGCCTGATGACGTGTCCCCGCGTGGGGGGCACGTGAAGACCGTGGAGGAGACATGTGAGAGCTCTCCGTAAAAGATGATGGGTTTGGCCATCATTGAACTCTTCCCAACAAAGAGTTAAGTTAGATCGTGTCCGACAGTGAAAAAACCTATGTTCCAATTCAGAAGAGTCATTTTCATCCATATCCAAGTTAAATGACTAAATGGAAATTAAAATATAAACCATGTGTGCCATATACTCACGAAATATAATTAAGGAGAAAAGAAAAAAAAATATAAACCATGTGTGCCATATCCTCACGAAATATAATTAAGGAAGAAAGAAAAAAAAAGAAGGAAGAATTCAATTCTAAGAAAAACTTTGACATACTATATATTAACATATTAAAGATATTGTTAGAATTTGATTTATTTGAGATTATTTATTATAAATTTTGTGACACTATTTTAAAGAATTAATTATAATAGATTATGACATTTTTAAAAATTATTTTGAATTTATTTTTATAAATTCCTTAAAAAAAATTAATAAAAACAACTTATAACATTTATAAAAATAATTTAAATTTATTTTATATTTTATTATAAAAATAACTTATATAAACTTATTCATAAGCATTTATACAACTGTTAATAAATTATTTATCCAAATAGGTACCAAGTGTATTAAAGTTGATTATGAGTGTATAGAATTAATTTTGAATATAACGTCATAATTGATTCTACGACGGTATAATTTATACTTTTAAATTTAAATTTAATTTTCACAATGATATTTACTAGTTATTCTGCTAATAAAAAGTATTTCATTTATAATTTTCTATATCTTAACTTTAATTCACTTTTAACTAAAATTAATTTAGATAATCAATTCACATTCAAATGTACAACCAAAGATGCACCAATGAATTGTCAACAGAAATTAATTTTCAATAGTCAATAATTGTTTGTACCAGAAATACCTAGCTTGCTCTCTAAATTTCAGATAAATCACTATATAAAAGCCAATTACTTATTTCTTCATTTGTTATTTGATTACTAATAGAATCACTAACATAAAAATAATAATAAAATCACAACTTTCTCTACCTAAATCTCTTCTCAAGTTTTACTTTCTCTCCTGTACTCATACTTTGTTTGCATCCATTGCCAAGCAAATCATAGATCCATGATCACCTTGAACATGCTCATAATTTGTATAAGAAGCATTGTAGCATTCCACAAGACCTAAATTCTTAGGTGTTGTACTATTACTATGTCCACTTCCTTTGCTTATTATTTTGTCATATGAATCTCTTACACTAATGGAGTTACCACTTTGTCTTGGTTGTGTTTGGTAGAACACCTTTGAAGCAACTAATTCTCCTTCTCTTTCTTCTTCATTACTACCAAGATGGTATTGATGCATCACCCAATTAGTCTTCTCTGGTTTTCCCTGCCTGCTATAGTTTGTGTAGAGAACTAGTATCTTTTTAAAACCCTTGACGATACCATTAACATAAACTGCCCTAGTTTTTCCTGTTTTGTGCCATCTTGTTTCACCTCCTTCTTCATCAGTGTGAACCTTTCTTCTTTTCCTTGTTCCTGTTGTGTATGCTTTAGAAGGCCTATGAAAAAAGTGACGGATTTGTCCATCTTTGCTAACTCCTGCATTATTTTACAGAAAAAGTAATCATGTATGCTTACATTATAGTATTTGTAAAGAAAACTCTTATGGTTAGGTATGAGAGTCATGCATATCACTACTATATGATGTGTTGGATTAAAACCAACTATCAAAGTTACTTGCAAATGAAGTAACTAAGCAAAAGAAGAAATTAAAAGGAAAAGTTTGAATTGAATTTTAACTAGAAGAGTGTGTATTCGTTCCAAGTATATGTCACCTCTTATAGGCGTGTTTACTGGTTTACTTGTACAAGTAGGCCACTAAAACATGGTTAGCTAATATTACTAACTTCTAAGTTAATTAACAAACTTGTAACCCACTTGTTCTGGTTTAGGCCAACGTCCAACCCACATGATTCCGAGTCACACAAAAAAAAAATGATAAATATGGTCTATAAGATACACTCATCCTAGAAATGCACTAGATCGAGGCCGCCTAGCCATTATGGGTCGTTGGATAACCAGGTCGTGTGATATATTTGTTGTTTCTTTTAAATTGACTGCATTTTGCAAAATAATAATAGAGAAGTGTTCAAAGTGTTCAAAATTAATATTGTTTGCTTAAGTTGTATGGAGGTGCACATGAAACACATGTTGGACGCGATGTTACATCATGTTGGTACGACATTGGGCCTTGCGCAACAAATCATTGTTGTTGCGTTTTGGAAGACTTTTCAGTCAAAGATTTGATCAGATTTTATTGCTAACTGGCTTATCAATATGATTAAGTGATTTATTTGACGGTTGATCAAAAATTGATTATGATTTAAATTTAAATTTAAATTGAAACAAACCATATTTTATTGGAGAGATTTATAGAACATATAATATCCAACAGATTTTATATTAATTTTGAATGAAATTAAAGCTAATATCCAAGGAGAAAAACTCAGAGTTATTTATACTATATAAGAGCTCAAACCTTCCATGGAAAGCAAACATTCACATTGAAGATATTAGAGTGTTAGGGTTTACAAGAGTCATTTTTATCTTATATACACCACACTATGTTTCAGTAACTCTGGATATTTGTAGGTTTGTCTAATTGAGTTGTAAATTCAACATCTTTATGTACACCTATATGTTTAAGTAATTTGGCATAGAAGGTTTGTCTAGTTGAGTTGTAATATTCAACATGGTTAATTGGGTAAATCACCAATCACCAGGGTTTAGTGATTGAGAAAGAGTGAGAAGGATTCTCATATTTAGCGGGAATCCTAAATAGAAAGTCATTAGGTAGTTTTAGGAAGAAGCATTGAACACCATATGATTTGTTGTTTCTTGTAAGACTAATTGTACTAAGCTACTAATAATGAATTTTTTTCTTGGGTTGAAAGCCAACCCTCAAGACGTAGCTGTCGTGCCATCGAACTGGATTACCAATTGTTGTGTTCTTTATTGCTTTTCTACTCCATCATCTTGTACACCTTAATCAGTCAAGGTTCTAGTTTATCTTGTCAAACTAGTTGTCTAGGACATCATGTTCGACTTTTGTCCCCTAAGAAACAAAATTTCAATATTAAAAACTGTCATTTGAGACAAGTGTTTCTTATAGAAGGTTCTAGGGTATCAAACCCTAAGGACCTACGATAAAGGTTGAAAGAAAAATTCGTCATAGGTACACATTAATCTAATTTAGAAACCTCATACTCACAGTTGTCATTGACTTAATGTCTAAGTGTTTGCAGGTACACCCTCCCACCAGCGAACTTAAGTTAGAAGATTGTTAAATAGTTTATTATCATATCCCTATTCATCAACAACACATGAAGAAGAAGGTTCACATTGGATCACTATTGAATTAACAATAATTAACTAACAACTTTGTATAGTTTGAATCGTGGTTTTAAATTGCGTGATGCAGTCGTAACATTGTGGTTGTGATAGTGTCTGCATCCGCATCAGGATGAAATTGTTGTGTGATCCTAAATCACACTAAAAACAACACCATAATGCTGCAACACACACATCATAACACTACAACAACTGCATTAGCCTGCATCGGACCGCATCATGACACAATAAATTATGCATTGCTTGCAAAATTTACTTTTTATACCTTTTAGAAATATTCAAAGTGAAGATATATATGAAAATTTAGAGACGAAATATTACAAATCTCTGTTATCATCTTTGCTTTAAGAACACTCTTTTGTTACTGTCTTGGAGAATGAATCAACATAATCTTCTTGTGGTGGTTAATATACTACAATAAATTTGTATGTGTTTACATAATCTCTCAAACAAAAAACAAAACCTCGTTTCACTGTGTTTACTCTTTTCATGGAAGATTGTTTTTTTATTGTTGCTAGTTTTTGATAAAAGAGGAAACTGCCTCCGAGACACATGTTTCACTATACAATAGATGGCGAGGCAACAATAGACCACTCTGACGTCTATATTTGGCATGTCAGCTAATGTCTAGGAGAACAAGTCAAAGTTCTTCCTTAGCAGGACAATCAATTCTTCTTCTCCAGCCTTAGTGAGGGAAATGCCCAACTTCATGACATGAAAATCTTAGGGCATAATCTAGACCTTTTTAAGGTTTTATATAGGAGTTAGTCTTTCCTTCTCAGGATCTATCCTGGATTCTAAATTTTCAAGAATCATTACCTATTCTCTAGGCAGTGGAATGGTGATTGCGGCCATTCTTACCCTTTTTACCCTGAGGCTGCTCTGGTAACATTCTCGAAAATTTTCTTGATCTCATTAGACTATTCTGACTTACCCTTTAGGTAAAAGATATTTAATGATTAAGTGAAAGGTTGAGAGGGGGGCCCCTAAAAGGATGAGTGTGGGTTGTCTCATGACATTGTTATATGGCGAGGGGGCAACTAGTACGAGATACCCGACCTTGATTGTTTTCGTGTTCTTGTTCATCCTAAACACTGTCTTGAGAGTTATATGGCCATTCATCTGTACTTACTCGCCTGGAAGTCTGACTAGAGAACCTTGAAACACTCGGATGTCATATGGATCCAACTAGATTCTCTCAATGATATTTGTTGGGCTTTCCAAATCAATCAACATTTGCTTTATATCATAATTGTCACATTGCACTGTTATGACCATGAGGTCATTATCGTGAGGAATGATGTTGGCGACATCTTCACTAAAGAAAATGATTTCAGAGTTATGTCTCTTCTCCCACGTTTGATTTATGATTGGCCGGTATATCATCCCCTACCAAACATACCTCTAGTGAGAAGATTTAGATTCTCCACCTCCAACAAACCCTCCCGTTATGGTGTAAACGGGTGAAGTTGAGTTGGTAGGCTTCGTGGCGCCTTATCTCGACATCATGTTGAAGAAGGTGACTGAGGCAGCTGATGAATGAAAGGTGAGTGTGACCCATGTTAGTTTTATTGGGGATCCACAGTAGGTATCCATTATACTTGCTAAAGAAAAAGCAATGAAATGACAACCACTATTTGTGTAGAAGTGTCAAGTTTTAGGGTTTATTGTGTACTAAGGACCTGCTCACGTGAGTGTGTGTGAGACTCTAAATGTGTTTTTGAGAGAAAATTCATGATCCCCTTCCAACTCTAGGAGTGGAGTATACATAAAAACATATTGGATCTGAGTTAGAAGCAGTTTTCCCAACCCCATTACCGAAAACGTGGAACATAACAAATTTGTTCTCCCTTAAATTATGGGAAACAATTTTTCCTCTTTGACTAATATCTCTTTTTTTTTTACTGTTTGGACGAGTTGCCTTCCACGTTCGTGGGTGAATGGGCAATGAAAACCAGTTCGGGTGATCGAAGCTCAAACTAGCGACTTCATGTGCTTTCTAGGCGATTTACGAGGCTACTTCGAGAAGCCTCTTAAGCCACATGTGACAAGTCATGTTGATCATGGATTTCGTACCTAAGCCTTATCGGGCGACCCAACCCAATTAATCGACCTATTGTCTCTATATTAGGAGCTCATCGTACGTCGATAGCCTTGGTTCTTGTTGCTTCTTCGCGGGCCACACCATTTCAAAACCAAGTAAAATTATTCCGGTTCACAAGCATATGCCACTTTTTTTTTTTTATAATTTGGTTGCTTCTAACAAATTAGTTTGTACACTTAGTTAAACTAACTAATTTCTAAAGCTAATTAACTTTTAACTTAAGTAAACTTGTAATCTATTCAACTAATTATCATGGTGAACACTAATTTTAATTTGTTTAACTTCATTGACAATTAACCTAAATGGTAAAACAACAAAATGAATCAGCAACTGACCTAACTTTCTATATTGCTGATGTAAGGCATAGGATGGCACTATTGACTACAGTTTGGTAGCCATTGCCAATTCAAGCATTAATTAATTTCTTGCAACACACCTAAAGAGTCGGTTATATAAAAGAGGTTCATGAACATTACACACACGTACGATGACTAGACAGAAACTTTCCTTTGCTTCAATGGTTGATTTATAAAGCTGTGACATTGTTGATAGACATAAAATTTTCTTTGCTTCAATTGCAAGAAACATCTCAAATATGGAAATGTTATGTGGTTATTCAAAAAAAGAAAACCTTATTAATTAAAAAATAAATCATTTTAAGCAATATTTTTTTTATAAAGATTTAAGCAATAATTAATTATTAAAAAAAATATTAATTAATTAATTAATTTGATACATGTGGTACCGTGCACAACAAGGCTATGTCTACAAATAATAAATGATAACTCAAATCATTTGAAAGTAAATAACACATGCAATTCATCAAACGGTATTCCAAATTTCTAAACTATATTTTAATTAAATTAAGCTAAAATAAATAAAATAAAATAAAACCTGGTAGTTTTTCTGGATGTGTATAACAAATTCCGTTTTCTCCTTGAAGTGTTGGGATGAACTCATCAATAAGTGGATGAATCTTGCACACATCAGACATCACTTTTGCCTCTAAATGCTCTAATATTTCTATGTCATTTGGATCAAATTTCACTCCAGCTGGTAAACCAGGCAAATCATGAATTCCACCCTATAATATATCATCAGTTTAATACAAATATTTACACACAAAAATAAACTTATAATCAAGATCAAAATAAATAAATAAATAAATCTTTAATTAATACCTGATTTTTCACTTCAATATCATGGTCACATGAGGGGCATTTTATGGTTTGAAATTCTTCATTGAGCTTTATGTGATGATTAACATCAGACTCATTGCACCAAGTCATCTTTCTGTGATTCTACTAATATCTCCTACAATTAATATATATAAGTCTCTAATATTAATAGTTGTAAAGAAAAAAGGTGGTAAATTAATTAAAGAAATAAAAAATGTAAATAAAGGGAAAGGTAATTATACAGTTTGTGTCTTTAGGGACACACCTTGTTGTTGATGGAAATTATGAGAAAATTTGTTGAATCATACCTTGAGAGACTCACACTTTTATTTCTTCTGTATGTGTTATGATTCAATGATTGAACTTGTGTTTGTGATTTTCCAAGTGCTTTCAGAGACCGTGTAGTTAGTTATAGCAGATAGAAAAAAGAAAGATAGGAAAAGAAATGTAGGGGTTCTACATATAGCAAAGGTTGCTTGGAGGTAAAGTTTTGGCTATATGCTAGTGTATACACGTTTCAACCAAAGAATACACGCGGCCTACATATTTAACTACTTTTATTATTATTATTATTATTATTATTATTATTATTATTATTATTATTATTATTATTATTATATACAACATCTTTGAATTATAGGCGAATTTCGCTTTACCTTACTTAAATATTCTTTTTTGGATTTTCATTTAGTATTTTATTTTTTTCGTAAGCGTATAACTGGAGTAATATTCACTTATACATACTTGCTGTTTCAAGTGTTTCGGTTCAGAGCCTTGCATATTTCTTATGTTCAGATCTAATTTGCTTCTGGAGTAATATTCACTTTAACATCTGTAGCAAACATTCTCAAACAAATTTTAGAGTATATAATTCTTTAATACAAAATTTCATAATAGTTATCATCAAAATATTGAGATATTATTAAGAACCAATATGTGTTCTAACAGAATAAACCAAAAATATATATTACAGGATAACTTTGACATTTAGGAGAGAATTTAAAATTTAAAATATATGAGATGATAATAATAAAATTTTTTAGCATTCTTTTTCAATTAAAAATTTTTAAATAATAAGAAGAGTGTTTTGATGAATTAATTTTACTATCAGTTAAAAATAAAATGTTAAATAAAATTAATCATAATACTTTAATGCTTCTACATTTTAAAAATATAAAATAGATTTTAATTAAAATATATATATTTTTATTATATTAAAAATATTTAATTTAAAGTTCTACCTTAGGTCCGAAGATGTGTTGAGTCGACCCTGCTTGCATGTGTTTGTAGCTTTCAAGATTCAATTTTATATGTTATAACTATATATTGAGTGATAACAGAATATGTGGCATGTATTTTGATTTTGAGAGAGTTTCTATGGTCTTAGTGATTTCACTTTAATTTATGACCTTAGTGGATTTCCTAGCAAGAACACAATCTCCTTAAAGCCAACATGTTTTGATGAGTGATAATTTTAGTAAAATGTTAAGAATATGAAAGTAAAATTTGTCAGGATCACAAAACAAAAAATACATTTTTGGTATTTACAATCATCATATGCTTAGAATTTTCTCCCTACATATTTCTATTGATGACACTTACGCGTTACCCTTAAATATTATCAAATAATAAAAGGTTTGGATACTTTTAGATAACACACATTTTATTGTAGGAAGTTTGCAAATTTCAAGTATTAAAATGACTTTGTTAGAAATATTATTGTTGATATATTTAAGCGATCGAGAGTATTGTAAAGAAAGAGATCCGTCAATTTCTTGACTGACCTTTAAAAAAGAAGGTTAATACTTAGTCAACAAATACTTAGGTGTATGAGTGATATAAGAGAAAAACATTCATGTGTGGATCTGGCAGAAGTTTTTTCAAAAGTGAGATTGAGGGCTCGAGACTTTATTGTATGATATACATCCCTTAAAACTGCTTCAAACAACGCAGTCAAATACAAGAAATTATTTTACGACAATCGATCAACATATTTTTATATCATTTGTGTTTGATACTTTTCACTTTCTAACAACATAGATAAGTGATTCTTTTACGAATACTCAAAGGATCATGCATAACAAAGTATTATCTCCTAAATCTATAAATATAATTTTTAATATTGTTTCGAGCTTGTTAAAATAGTCCTACATTACTTAAAATCGAGACTTATAGCATGCACCTCAACCCAATGAGATATCTTTTTTTAAAGACAAAGTTGTTAGAATTCTTAAATTTGATGCGGACAATATCTCGTAGCCGCGGTAACACGGACTTAAGGTCAATCGAAACATTGACGTCTTTGTGGAAACTCAAAAGTTTGCGTTGTGCTACTTAGTTGTTTTGGATTGATCAAAATAGTTTCACATTGTTTAAAAATCGAGATTAAAAGTATATTGTACACCTCAACTCAACGAAACGTATTTTTAAATGACAATCTTAAGGATTTTCAAATCTAAAATGAACAATACATAAAAGTTGCGGTGATGCAGATTTGAGATCGACCAAAATAAATATGATTGATTTTACCATCTAAAAAATCAGTGCCGCATAAATGTGTGATGACTCGTCTAAAGATATAAAGCACTTCAAAAACAACTAATAATAAGAAATTGTATTTGGTCCATTATAAAACACTTATTATTATATCAAATGTATTTTCAACCTAATTAAGGAATATTTAAAAGGGAAGGCATCATCATTTCTTACATATTGAAGTTTTTAAATGGTACTTTTAATAGTAAAATCCTCGACTAAGAAAAAGTAATGGTATTAGTATCTAAGAGTGGAAACTTGGCAACCTGATTCTTAGGACGTTTCGCCACTTTACAGAGTAGATCGATGTGTGTATGCTATGTCAAGTTTGTGTTTTGTCATACTAGCTTAGGGAGCACGAATGTATTAAATCATACATTTTTAATTAAAAAATAAAAAGAAGAAAAACTAAGATTTGGAGCACGAAACTTGTGTTCGAAGTCGTCGACGTTTTGGTGTTGAACTTGATTGGATCAACAATTGACTAGTCAAGTTGGAGGATGTTTTTGTCATTTTATGTTAAAATAATAATGATTTGAAATAGTAGTAGTGGTTTGAATGTCGGTTTTAAAGTAGATAGAATAGACACGAATGCATATAAGTATAACCCATTCATTATGAAATGTCCATGTTGCATCCGTGAACACGTCTTTGTAATTGTGAGCTTCTCAAAGAAGCCACGCAACGAAGCTTAGGCAGTAAGCTACTTCTATGTTTTTTATTTGTCACGTTGTCTTCCCTTGTATATCGTATATTATATGGTAAATTTTGTATGTAGTAACAGTTTTGATAACGACTAGATTACGATAGAATAGGGTTAACAATAGTATTGTAGGATTTGGATTGACTACAGAGTTGATTTGGGTCCTTGATATAAGTAAAAGAACTTTTATTGATGTGTTATGAGCCATTGGATTCTACATGAATGATTTTGATTTGCTTGAATGCAGTGAATTCAAGTCCAATATTACAATCATACGTTTGATTACGACTTTATTTGATAGAGAAATAATATATATATATATATATATATATATATATATATATATATATATATATATATATATATATATATATATATATATATATATATATATATATATATATATATATATATATATATATATATATATATATATATATATATATATATATATATATATATATATATATATATATATATATATATATATATATATATATCATCAAAGAGTTGTCGTGGAAGGCTTTTAATGAAGATATCGTCGATTTGGTATAATGAAGTGACATGTAACACACGAACTTGGTCACAAATAACTTTCTCACGTATAAAATGAATATCAATTTGAACTGTAGATTTATGTTTTCTTTTGTCAGCAAGGTCACATACGACTTTTCTCGAAATTGTTTTTTCCCTTTCTTCTCACTAATATTCTTGTAGTGAGCAGATCGAGCTCTGTTATCCTCATCATAAATTAAATTCTGCACTTATTCACAAGTACGAAAAAACGACGGATCTCCTGGTAACCTATAACTTGTTTGATCTCGGGACGCAACCCGCTCTCAAACTTGATGCACATTGAATCCTTAACAGTAACAATGTTATAATACAGACAAAATTTCACTAGATCCTCAAATTTTGCAACATACTTTGCAACTGCCAGATTTCCTTCTTCAACTCAAGGAATTCAATCTGCTTCTTGCTACGTACATCCTCGCGGAAATACTTCTCCAGAAAATGTGCTATGAACATTGCCCAAGTAACCTCAGTACCAGTAACCTCTAGTCTCTAGCGTGCGTTATCCCGCCAATCCTCAGCTTCCTTAGACAACATGTGAGTTCCAAACAATACCTTCTGCTCCTCAATACAAGTCATCCCTCAGAAAATCTTCTCAATCTCTTTCAGCCATGCATGAGCACCCCCCGAGTCATATCTACTCTTGAACGTTGGTGGATTATTCCTCTGAAATTTTCCCAAGCCAGGAACTCATCACCAACCTGATTATGTTGTCTGTGCAGTGCCTGAGCCACTGACTCCAAAGCATCAACAATAATGTGATCGTTTCTTCCAGCCATTATGCACATCATCAAATAGACATTAGAAGAAACAATGCATCGATAATGTACACATATTAAGGAATAATTATCATGCAAAAACCTGACCGGATGGATCAACCTGCTTTGATACCACTATTGTAACACCCTAAATCCTGAAACTTGTATAAAAATGATTACTCGACAATTTAAGGTGTCACCGACGACAACCTTTTAACACAACATAAACATTTTGAAAACACACATCGCAAAAATAAACAACATACAACACCTGTCATCGCTTGCTCATCATCACTTAGGGTTTCATCACAGTAGAATCATAGTAATCACAGTAATAAAACCTATTAACTTCAATTTGAGGTCTTTTAAATATTTAACTTCCATAAAATACTTCAAAAGGAATTTCAATAATCAATTCTCAGCAACTTCAAAACAATTCAACATATTAGTATTAAACTTCAACAAAAGCGATGAAATCGACATTGACATATAAAGAAAACATTGTTCGCCCCAGTGTTACTAAATCAAAACATAGTAAATATAAAGGCGATACACTAATGGAAATAACTCCAAGTGTTATTTCCCACTCACAACAATAACTCTACTCCTGAGTATTTGTAAGATATCCATGGTGGACAACATCAAAGCAAAGGGGGTGAGAATTTATATCAATAATTTAACGACATAAGATGTAAGGTAGAATTCAAACATCTACACATTCAACATCAATCAAACAACATCATTTTCACACCCAATCCATCAGCATACACAATCCAATCACATATTTATCATGTAAACTATACAATGAGACTCACAACTTCCACTAGACTCATATGCATATGGTAGCATATCATCATCAATTGGTTCACTCAGGAACCAAGTTCATCCTACTCGAACTCCAAATCTAACATGCATTAATCCATCATACTTGGATTGCAACTTCCCTATTTCCTCAACAACAACGACATAATGAAAGAATGTTACAACACGTCAATGCAACAACAACATAGTATTTAAAGAACCCTCCTGATAATAAATAAAATATGCATTGACCCAATGATAATAGCTCCCCTCCTGAACTGTCATTCCACAACAAAATACTCACAATTCAATATAATAAATCATGCTCATAGAACAACATATCATCATCACAGATCATAATAATTATCACAACATCATCATATCGTGTGCACATATTCACCATTCATCAAATACTTCATAATATTGATTAAAATCATATTTAATCATTAAGTCACATCAAACATTGATTAAACAGTAGCTAATAGTGCACAATAGTACCCAAAACATCCACAAAGTCAAAAGTTCAAAATTTGTAATTTAACACCATCAAAACAAGTATATGCGCTCACTGTAGACTCATGATGGGTTACCCGTCAAGGTAGTGACACTAGTCACCGACCTCAAAACTTCAGGACGTCACTCAGGTGACGACCGACTTGAAAGGCAAGCCTGGGTCGTATGACAGGTTACCCATCACGGTGGTTATGCAATGAAGTTCACTGTAAAACTCCAATTTTCTCATTCCAGCATCAAAAATCGATCCAAAAACATTACCCACATATTATATGTTCATCAATAACACCTAATTTTCTAAAAACAACACATTTAGTTCATGGTTTTCATAAAATCGTGTTATTCCCAAACCTTCAAACACCCAACAATGGTGAAAATATGTTCGTTCATCAAAACAGAATTTGTCACACATCAAGTACACAAATTTCATCTTTAAACATCATTATAAATAGCGATTTAATCAAACATAACAAAATTGTGTAAATTCCCAAAGCCCCATTGGAGGTTAAGGACTCCTCAATTCTAACCCTCATGCATATACCCCTTATTGATATAGTTCTCCCCCTTACATGATTATCCTAACAGAAATGCAAATTTTTTGACTTTGATTCTCTAAATTCCTCCAAGTCCCTTGCTTTTCTCTTGCACCTTGTCTAACCTCCTCTCTATTCCCAAATTCTGATTTTACGTATGATAGAAAGCTATCTAAACCTAGGTTATCTCTTAGTTTAAATAATTAGGGTAATCTAATTAAAATTATAAACTCACCTCTCACTTACTAACATTATCACTCCTTCCTCCCCTCTATTTTTCATAATTTTCAATTCAGCCTCAAACTCTCTACTTTCCATTTAATTCATTTAGTTTTAAAGACAAGATAAGATTCTCTTGTCTTTTGCTTTTGTAAAGATTCTTCTTCTATTATTTCTTGTCCTCTAGCCTTTGTCCATTGATTCTTATTCCATTGTTTCTAGACAAGATAATAATTTAATTCTTTGCTTTTCCTTTTACTTTCATACATTGAATCATTGCATCCCAGAAATCTTCTGCAGTAGCTTCATCTGCTTGACCTTCTCCTGCCAAACCATCCAAGTTATGAGAATCCATTGATTCCATGGAAGAGCTTGTCTTCATAGATGAATCTTCATCTTTTGATGCTTTTGTTGGAAAAGTAGAGAAGAATTGGTTCTTCATATGATCCAAAATTCTAATCATGATTTCATCTTCTGATTCATTGGGATATTTCCTCTGGAAGAAGTTCTTCAAGTTTTCCATAGACATTTGTTGGGAGCTTTGCTCCTTGACCTTATTATTTTGGTCTTCCTCTATAGCTTCTTGAATTAATTTCATTTTATTCTGGACATCCTCTGAACTCATCTTGTTCCACCATTTATAGAAGAAATTTCTTTCTAAAATGGGAATGTTGAATTTGTTTTTTGATATGGTGATTGACCATCTCCATATCCATGGAGTTTGAAATTTAGTAAAGAACAAGAATGGACATTGTCCAGTGATTAAATTATCAGATAAAATTTTTACAATAAGTGGACTATTATCACACCATGGATTGTATAAGTTAAGAATTTCTTTAGGAAGAATTTCCAAAGATGGACCAAATTTAGCCCACCATTCATAAAACCAATTTGGTATGTGTTTATTAACTATCTCTTGATTAATAGAGAAAAACCAAGAATGCTTGTTCTTAGGATTTTGGTAATAAAAAGAGCTTGAGTGAAAGCTTGGACATAGTCCCAATAATTAAAGTAAATATACTTTCACCTTTAATATGTTGAATATCAAATTCAAACATAGATAATTGCGATTGCCAACTAGCAAAAATTTGCTTAGCAACAAGATTTTTAACATCTTTTTCAATAATTGATTTAGCTGAGCTACAATCAATTTTTAATAAAATTTTTAAGATCATCTTGAAATTTTGAAATGCATTTTATAATAGAAAATATCTCTTGATAGTTGAATATTTTGCTTGTGTTGGATTCCATTTTCCAGAAGTAAATCTAACCAAAACTTCTTTTGATGTTTCAGGTATTATTTGTTTAAGGATTCCTCCATAGCCTATGTCTGAAGCATCAGTTTCAACAATTTTGAAATATTTAGGATTAGCAAGGGATAAACAAGGCAAACATTTCACCTTATTTTTAATTCTTTGGACTGCCTGAGAATGTTTTTCAGTCCAAGGGCCAAGATTCTTTTTAAGCCTAGCATGTAATATTGTTGTATCTTTAGCAAGATTTTCATAATAATCTGCTATGTAATTGAGGCTACCCAGAAACCTTTGTAATTGTTTCTTATCTGTAATAATATCAGGGAATTTAGAAGCAAATTCAATACTTCTTTGTATAGGAATTATAGTTCCTAGGTCAATTTCATGTCCTAAAAATCTAACCCTTGTTTGAAAAAGTTCCATCTTAGGACCAAATATTACTAATCCATTATGCTTAATTAATCCTTTGAATATTTTCAAATGTTTAATATGTTGATCTATAGTTTTCGAAAAAACTAAAACATCATCAATATAAACAATTATAAATTCCGTATAAGGATTAAAAATATCATTCATAATATTTTGAAATTCAGAAGGGGCATTTTTAAGACCAAAAGGAAGGACATTCCATTCATAATGTCCAAAAGGTACGGTAAAGGTTATTTTATACTTATCAGATTCATTAATCTGAATTTGCCAATAACCATATTTCATATCAAATTTAGAGAAGATTAAAGCATTGTTTAATCTATCTAAAAGATCTTTTTTATTTGGAATAGGATATCTAATCCATTTTAACACTTTATTAAGTGGTTTGTAATTAATAACGAGTCTAGGAACTCCACATTCCTTTTCTGTAGCATTATTGACATAAAAGGTTGTGCAACTCCAAGGGGATTTGGGTTTTCTTATTAATTTTTTCTCTAAAAGAGATTCTATCTCTTTTTTGCATAAATCCAAATACTCGTGGTTCATTTGAGCAGACCTAGCTTTAGTGGGAATCTGACTTTCATTTAAGTCATCAAGATAAGGTAAGGAAATAACATGTTTCTTTCTATCCCAAAAGGCATTAGCTAAATCATTGCAGATTTCATTAGAGGCATAATTTTATGCAGAAAGGGAGTTCCTAATATAATTCTATGAGTTAAATTTTTTTACAAGAATAAAGTGAGTGGGTAAACAAATATCTTTGTTACAAACATAAGCATTAGACAATTTATAATTAACTGTGAGTTTATCTCCTCCAGCTGGTGTAAGAGATTGAGTAGTTTTATCAAAATATTTAGTGAGAATTATTCCTTCTTGAAGGCAGTTTAAACCAACTCCGCTATCAATAAGGGCAACTTCATTCTCTAATATGAAATTTCTATTAATAGCTAATATTATTATAACAAACCATTTTTGAGAAGTTACTCTATCAATGAGAGAAAGGAATATATCACTAGGTGAAGGATTACTAGTGGAAGCTATTTCTTCAATTTTTGAATTATTGGACTTTAAGAAAGTGAACCTTTGAGATAAACCATAGTTTTCTTTTTTAATTTGAGCTATCTCATTTTTTAAGAGATTTATTTCTCTATTTAAATCCATAATAGAAACAGGAGTTTCACGAATGTTAGACGGTCTAAATCTAGACAAAACCTCACTTAATTGGTAAGGTGCTTCTGTAATAATAGGAGATTCTCTTTTAGAGTTTTCTTGGATTAGAACCTCAAGCATTTTTCTTTTAAGATTTTTATCAGAAATGGACTCTAAAGCCTTTATAGCTTCATCCTGTTCTGAGGTTAAAACATTTAACCCATTCATATCCACTATTGATTTCCAGTAATCTAATTGATTACATTGACAATTATTATTGTTAGAAGATTAAGATAAGTAATCAGAAGAAGATTCATAAATCATATTAATATCTTCTTTAGAAGAGTAATCTTCAGAATCAGATTTGAGAAGTAAAACTTTCTCTAATTGAGAACGTAATTGTTCATTTTCTATTTCGTTAAGAGCTTTTTTAGTCCAACATTGGTTGGCATAATGGCCAGGTTTGCCACATTTATGACATGTTATGTCAAGCTTCTTGGCTTTTCTTTTACCTTTAGGGTCAAAAGATTTTTCTTTAGGTCTACCCTTATTGTAGTGACCCCTTTTCTTATTCTTATAAGAATTTTTATAAGAATTTTTTGGCTTATCCCTATAAGGTTTATTGCGGAAAATTTTTCCTTTTTTCTTTTTATTATTTGGAGATTTTCCAAGATCAAAAGCAAATTGTTCGCAAAATTCACCAAGTTGGTGTTTCTCATAAAGCTTTTGCTTTTTAAGTTGATTTCTAAGCTTTATGTCATTACATAACGTTAATCCTTCATTAGCACAAGTACTAATTATTTGACCATAAGTAAGGTCAGAATAATTTATATTTATTCTATCATTTTTTTGTCTTAAAGATTGTCTAATCTTTTCAGAAAAGAAATGGGGTAATCCATCAATAAATTTTGCTTTCCAGTGCAAAGAATTGGGATTGTTTAATTGGTAAACTCTTAAAAGAAAAGTATCCTTATACCATCTAAAGTGGGTAAGAGAAGAACACCTAAGGTTTTGGAGAAGTGTCTGGATTTTTTCTCCAATGGGGACATTGGTTCCTACCAAATGTTGTAAGATGGAAAGACACAGTGTATACACTGCATCTTCTTCTCCTGTGGTGGTCGTAGCCACAATAGTGCTCGTATTAGTTCTTGGTTCATTCTTAACGATTTTTTTTGTGATTAAGAATCTCTAATTTTTGAGATTCAGTGAGATAGTGATCCCACCAGCCTTTAAGTTGGCCAACAAATCCTGTTGTTATAAAGGACGCTATTGAACTATCAGAATTTCCATGTTGCTTGCAAACAATAAAGTACATGATCATCCTATGGATTGTATCTATAATTTGTTTGTCATTAAGACCATCAACATTCTATTCATAAATGGCTTTTCCTGAATAAGAATTCTGGAAAGGTTCTGATTCCTCAAAAAGCAAATCTTGCAGTGAAGGACGCTTGTAATAATACTTTTCTATAGGTCTTGGGGAATAAACAGGGTTTATACTATTAGTATTATTAATACTATTAGTATTATTAATATCAATGTTACTAATGTCTAAATTAGCAAACATATCAGAAAGCTGGTCAATATGGTCATCATTATTATCCTCAGAATAATCTTTATGGGACATGACAGTGATATTAAGTCCTTTTAATTTTTGTTCTAAAATACGAACAAATTCTTCTCCATTGGTTTCCATTTTAAATCCTTCTATGGAAACAGGAGGTTGCACTATAGGAACATCCAAAATAGTGGATGTGGATATTTGGTCTTTAGGTTTATTGATGTGGTCAATAATGATATCTTGACGCTCTATTTGTTTTTCTAAAAGATCTTTTATGGATAAGAGATATTTTCCATGGAGATAAATTGTTCTCCTAAGCAAACAAGGTAAGCATTGGTATAATTTTGAGACCTGATGACTGAGTTTAATTCCTTAAGAGTAACTTGACTTTGTTCAACCTTTTCTAACTGAAGACTAAGGTAAGGGGTAGCTTCAATATTTTGACTCAAACTTATTGTTTGTTCAGGGGGAAAAGGAGATTCCATTACTTCTTCTCTAATATTTTTCCAAGGTCTTTGTAACACAAGAATTTCTTCTTGCTTTTTATTTATGAAATAATTAACAAACCATTTAACAAAAGGAACGAAATCCTGCTCAAGGTTCATTTGAGTGTAATACTCATCTTTAAATTGGGCTAATTCAGCAGGTTTTGAAATTTTTTTAAAAAACCAATTTCTAAATTGAGAGTATCTCTCATGTTGAAACTCATCATTGACGAGTTGTCTCATCTTACTGAAGGTGAGAAAATACTTAGAAGGGGGGGGGGGGGGGGGGTTGAATAAGTATGACAGAAAATAATCAAAGATAAAAACACAAATATTTTTATCCTGGTTCGTTGAACTCAACTACTCCAGTCCACCCTTTTCAAGAGTGATTTGCCTTTCTCAACAAGGACTTAATCCACTATTCAAATCAACTGATTACAAATAGCAACACCTAAGAACAACTGTTCTTAGTCTTCTCAAGAGCTACTGATCTAACCTAGATCCTCTTAAGGAAAACTTCCTTTACAAATTAATGTAATACAATGTAAGAGTAAGAAATTGCTTCTATGAAAGCTATAAACACAACTGTGTTATTTCTCTAAGTTTAGAACAATGTATGAACAGCAAAGAATATGAGTGCTTTTCGCGTGAGAGAGTTCTTGCAATTGTTTTCGTCAAAATTCGTCACTTGAAGAATGAGCTATGATATCCTTTATATAGCCACTTGAATATTGGAGAGAATATTTTT